TCGCCTCGTAAGCACAGGGATCCCATATGGGCACTGGTTCATGTCCTGGCTGCTCCACTTTGATCCAGCTCTGATTATGCCCTGGAAAAGCAGTTCAGGATGGCAAAGCCTTGGGACCATATACCCGCATGGAGGACCTGGAGAAGGCTCCTGACTTCAGACCAGCTGATGTAGCCATCTGCGGAGTGAAACAACAGATGGAAGATCTTTCTGTCTCTCTTCTCTGTAAATCTGCCTTTCCAATCTTTTTTTTTTTTTTTTTTTTTTTAAGAATAGAGGGCCTGGCACAGTAGCCTTATGGCTCAAGTCCTCGCCTTGCATGTACCAGGATCCCATATGGGCACTGATTCTAATCCTGGCTGCCCCGTTTCCCATCCAGCTCTCTGCTTGTAGCATGGGAAAGCAGTTGGGGACAGCCCAAAGCCTTGGGACCCTGCATCTGTGTGCGAGACCTGGAGGAAGCTCCTAGCTCCTGGCTCCTGGCTTCAGATCAGCTCAGCTCTGGCTGTTGTAGTCACATAGGGAGTGAAGCACCAGAAGGAGCATCTTTCTGCCTTTCTGTCTCTTTTCTCTGTGGATCTGCTTTTCCCATAGAAACAGATGAATCTAAAAAGAAGAAGAAGAAAGAAAGGGAGTGTGCTTGACCGCAAATCCCTCTGCCTTCCCAGGTTACGCTGTGCCCTCCCATGAATGTGACACTGTGCTGGAGGCCATTAAACTCTATCCAGAGGCTGAGCCCGTGGGACTACCTGATCTTAGATTTTCAGCCCCCTACCCAAGACTGTGAGCTACATAAAACCCTTAACAACAAAAACAGAAAAAGGTTTATATTATTTGAAAGAGTTATAGAAACAGGAGGAGAGACAGAAATTTCCATCTGCTGCTTCACTTCTCAAATAGCCTCAGTGGCCAGGGCGGGGTCATCCCAAGCAAGCAGCCTGGAGCTCCTTCGGGGTCTTCCACATGCAGGGGCCTAAACGCCTGGGCCATCTTGCCCTGATTTCCCATGTGCATTAGCAATGGGAAGGATCCAAAGTGGAACAGCTGGAGCTCAAACAGGCAGAGGTTTAGCCTGCTATACCATAGTGTCAGCCTCCATTCTACCCTCCACCTGCGTCCCTTTTAAACTCTTAAAGATTTATTTTTATTGGAAAGTCAGATATATAGAGAGGAAGTAAGGCAGAGGAAGATCTTCCGTCTGATGATTCACTCCCCAAGTAACTCCGATCCAAAGCCAGGAGCTTCTTCCAGGTCTCCCACATGGGTGCAGGGTCCCAAGATCCTGGGCCGTCCTCGACTGCCTTCCCACGCCACAAGCAGGAAGCTGGATGGGAAGTGGGGCTTCCAGGTTTAGAACTGATGCTCTTATGGGATCCTGGCATGGGCAAGACAAGGACTTTAGCCTTAGACTTTCTCACCAGGCCCTTTAAACTCTTTATAAAGCACCCTGCCTCCGGGAGTTTGTTAGAGCAACACCAGGCAGACTGATCCAGCTGTGGCAGAGCAGGGCTGACTCCCCACAAAGCAAAGTGCAAAAAAAACAGACCTTTGGGTAAAGAAAGGGAGATCATCTGGATGCTTCCAGGAGAGGTCATTCAACTCAGTCAAAGTCAGAGGCCAGCGGGAAGCCCCTCACTCCGCGGATCCCAGCAGCCCATCAGAAGGCTCTCGTACAAAATTCCTTCTGTGCCTCTAAGCCACAGATTCCAGGCCATTTCGCTCCTGTCAAGTTAAGCAGCAGAGATTGCCAAGTCAGGACACCCACTATATACCCTGGAGAGCGCCAGGCTTTAGGCCTGCCTGAGCCTAAGTGCCCTGGCACAGCCTGAGGTGAGCTGTTTAACCACAGGCTGCTGCCTCAGCTTCCTGTTTGGCCCAGGAGTGATAAGCAGTGAAACTTCATCTCCCGTGGCAGGGAGGTCTGGGAGGCCCCCGGGTGTGGGCATGTGTGCCCAGCGTGAGGCAAAGAGCCAAACACCATTGAGCATACACGAGTTGACAAAGTGAAGAATGCCTGGATTTATGGAGATAAGAATTACACGATGCAGTAGCCTGGTGGCTAAAGTCCTCACCTTCCACATGCTAGGATCCCATACAGATGCCGGTTCTTGTCCTGGTAGCTTTGCTTCTCATCCAGCTCCCTGTTTGTGGCCTGGGAAAGCAGTCCAGGTCAGCCCAAAGCTTTGGGACTCTGTACCCGCAAGGACACCAGGACAGAAGCTTTTGGTTTTGGATCAGTGTGGTACCGGCCATTGCGGTCACTTGCAGAGTGAATCATCAAACAGAAGACCCTCCTCTCTGTCTCTCCTCCTCTCTGTATACCTAACTTTTCAATAAAAATAAACCTTTTTTTTAAAATAAATCTTTTAAAACAAAAACTTCTTGGGCCCTGTGTTTCAGAAGAGACAATTCATGGAAGAGACAGTCCCCATATCCTCTTTTCATTAAAAAAGAAAATTGAGGTAAAATTCACATAGCTTAGTGTTAACTACTGTAAAGCGAAGGATCCCATGGCATGGAGTAGATTCATGATGTTCAATGACCAGCCCCTGAGCCATCTGGGTCGCTGAAGTCAGCCTCCGTCTGCCATCCTCCCTGTGCCTGGCTGCTAGCAGTTTGCTTACTGTCCCTGCACACTGGTTTATTCTAGATAGTTCTAGATAGTTCACAGAAAAACAATGTTTGCAAGGTAGCCCGCCATGTCTGGCACCTCTTGCTAAGCCCCGTGTTGTTGAGGTCTATCCTGGTTGTCAGCGCTGGTTCCAGTTCACAGCTGAGTGCTGCTCCACTGACTCTGAGTCTCCCACATGGGCCTCTGCTCCTTTCCAGGCACCTGCTCAGTCCCGGCAGGCTGGCTCCAAGGGCCATGGTCCAGGCACAGGTGTTCCTCCACCTTGAGGGCAGGCACCCAGGGGGTGACACCTGCTGGTCCTCGAGATGATTTCAGGAAATAGACGCTGGAGGAAATGACGAAGGATAAGAGGTGTCAGATGCCTCTGCATCCTGTGGCATCCTCTGCATCCAGAGGCGGGGCTTCCCTGACTCGCCCTCCTTCCTCCCTCTCCCTTTCTTGACTGTAACACCCATTGGTTCCAGTGAAAGCCAGGGCAGAAGACGGAGCCAACCCAGCAATTGCAACCACCAGCTGATCAGGCAGATGGACTGTGGCGGGCCCTGTACTTGCTAGTACATACAGGAATCTGGTCTGGGAACACCTCAAAGTTTCTTTGGGGATCCACTCAATCGAAACGGCGAACTCAGAACCTTAACCAAGAAAAGATGGAAGATAGAACAGGTCAATCAACCACCACAGCTATATATTGGCAACGAAACACTGGACAAAGGGAGACTCTATGATGGGCTATGTCAATCAGTGGATTATTCAATGGCCTCATTGTGTCTGAAGAGGCGAGATTGGCAGCGGTGCATAACTGGTGAACTACCGGGACCACTTGAGCAAGGATCTCAGAGCATGCCCTACATCCGGGACATGGGGTGGGTAGGAGACTGGGTGGGGCTTCGCCTCAATATTTCCTTCAGCCCTTGTAACTTTATGCCCTAATCAACAATGTAAAGATTGCCAAAAGATAATAATAATAAAGATTCATTTATTTTTCATTGTAAAGTCAGATATACAGAGAGGAGGAAAGACAGAGGAAGGTCTTCCGTCCGATGATTCACTCCACAAGTGACAACAATTGCGGATCTGAAGCCAGGAGCCAGGAGCTTCCTCCAGGTCTCCCACGTGGGTGCAGGGTCCCAAGGCTTGGGCCATCCTCAAATGCTTTTCCCAGGCCACAAGCAGGGAGCTGGATGGGAACCAATGCCAATATGGGGTCCTGGAGTGTTCAAGGCAAGGACTCCCTGCGCCGGGCAGGTTTGTAACCCGAACTCAATGACCCTGGGTAATAATGTATTGATTTTAAGTTACTTAGTATTTATGGTGGCAACACTTTACACTTACCATTCCCTTTTTAAATTCACTTAAATTTTCAACAGTGAGTCTGTTTCAAGGCAACAGTAACTCTCCAGGTGGTGCAGACTGAAAAACTAAGTTGGGGATGGAATGACCAGCGGGAAAACACTTGGAGTTGAAATTTGTCACCTGCAGCTAATGTTTCCGTGTGACTTCCACGCTCCAAGCGATTGCTTCAAACTCCCATTCCTCTCCGCTGGGGTGTGGGAGGGCTAGGAATTAACAAAAATTAAAATCTATTCATTTTCATTTGCTTTGACAGGCAGCCAGAGACGGAGGGAGACCTTCGCCCGCTGGCTCGTTCCCCCGACGCCCATTAGCGGTAAGCTGGAACCAGACGCGAGCGGCCACACGCGCTCAGGGACCCCGGCTGTCACATTTGTTCCGATTTTCCTCATTTGGAGAGGCTCCCACAAGGGTGTTCTACCCTAGGACTAGAACTGCACGAATAACAAAGTTGACCTCACGCTGATGTTAAGGCTTTAGCTGTAGCCCAAACAGGGAAATGGTCACCTCACAGAAAAGGAAGAAACGGTGACCCACACCCGGGTCACGGGCAAAACCAGGGGGAAACGTAGGAATGACCGTCCGGATCCCCGCCTCGGGCGCTCTCCTCAGGACCGGCCGACCCGTAAGAGGACAGCACGCTCAACTTCGACATTTTCCCGCGAGATCGCGCAGCGCAAACACCGCCTGGCCGCGCCCACGCAGACCGCCGAGACCACGCCCTTCCGCGAGGTCCCGCCTCTCCGCACGTCCTACCCCGCCCACGGAGCCCGGGCCGCCCGCCGGGACCACGCCTCTCCCGGAGGCCCCGCCCACGCAGCCCGGGCCGCCCGCCGGGACCACGCCCCTCCCGGAGGCCCCGCCCACGCAGCCCGGGCCGCCCGCCGGGACCACGCCCCTCCCGGAGGCCCGCCCACGAAGCCCCGGCCTCCCTCCACCGGCTCCGCCCACGGAGCCCGGGCCGCCCGCCGAGACCACGCCCCTCCGGAGGCTCCGCCTCCCCGCAGGCCTTGCCTTTTCGGTCTCCGGTCGTCCCCGCGGCTGCCCGCGTGCATTGAAGATGGCGGCTGCTGCAGGAAGGTTGCTTCGGGCCTCGGTGAGTGCTGCTGAGTGGGGACAGGCGGACTTTCGGTGCGGGGACTCCGGGAACCGCTTCCCGGGCGAGGTCGCGTTGCTCTGATCCTGCAGGGCCGTCGCTGCCCTTGGAAGGTCGGATCGGGTAACGGATCCGCAGGCCTCCCCACCGGGAAGGCACCTTGCGCCTGCGCTGGGCCGCCTGTCCACGGTCCCCGCTCAGCCCGTAGTGGCCGGTCCGTCCAGCCCTGCATGCAGGAGGGCAGGCTCGCTTTGCTGAGCCTCCTTCACGCTTCTGCCCTGGGGGTGTGGACGGGAGCCCCGCACACCTGCTGCATGGACTGGCGGGAGGCAGAGATGACCCGCTGTGCTGGCCTGAGCCCGCGGCCTCTCACCACCGTTCTCCCCACGTCGTGCCGGGCGTTGGAGTCGAGCTGACAGCCCCCTGGGGCCCGGTCCAAACCCTCCGGGAGCTGCACCTTGCCCCCGGGGTTTGCGCGGTGTGGAACTGGGGTTGGGGGGGAGCAAGTCCTTGCTGAGAGGCTTGGCACGGTAGGCGATGGAGTTGGGAAAGGGTGGCAGCCCCACGGCCTGACCAAGGAACCCTGCGTGCTGAACCCAGAGTCTGAAAGGAGAGGGAAACGGTGCGGAAAGCTGGGTCCCCACCCTTAGAGAGTGTGGCAGGGGTGGAGTGGGGTTGGCATTTGGTTCAGGGACATGGAGCGCTAGCCACCCCTGGCGCCATGCCCTGTCAGCAGAGCCAGCCTGCAGTCACCATTCTTGCAAAACTTACCAATTGGCCACCTCTCTCCTCGCAGCTCGCCCGGCAGGTGGGTGCCCTTGCTCGGGGCCTTTCTGCCTTCTCAGCCCCCAGACCTGTTACATCTGCAAGATCCTGTTGGGCCAGCCTCTCCTGGTGTGGGTCCGCTCAGGCAAAACTCGCCTTCAGCACCAGTAAGTGTGTTGCCTTGGCTGGGCTCAGGTGAAGGCAGCCATGTTCATCCTCTGTGGGCAGGACAGCAGTTCTGATCCTGCCTTACCCCAAGTGCAGCTGGGCACACCCCAGGTGGCGTAGGTGATTGCCCTGGGCAGCCTGAGAATCGCCAGGATCAGCTGCCTGCTTTGAGTGGGCGGGGTGGAAACCCTTGTGGGCTCGCTGTGTTTGGAGGGGCTGCCAGTGGAAGCTGCTGGAATCCTGTGGGAGCCCAGTGAGCTCTAGCTGTGACCCAGGATGTGAACTTTGCCAAGGCCAGGTGCAGATACCTATGGTATTGAAAAATGTCTCCTCTTAATATGTCTCATGTGTTAGGAATTCTGCGAGGACAGAAAGGAACAAACTCAGAGCCTTCAGGAGGAAACAATTAGTCGTGCAATTTGCTGCTTTTGGAACTTTCAAATGTTTCTCACAAGGTGGAGCATCCCCCACCCAAAAATCTGAAATTCTTCGTGATACCTTGACTCCATGCAGAGCAAAGATCCCACTCCATGAACTTGAATTGCTACAATTGTTACTCAGGGCCAGGGGTGTAGTGCAGCAAGACAAACCACAGCTTGAAATGCCCACATTCCGTATTAAAGCCAGGTTTGAGTCCTGGCTCTGCACCCGAGTCCAGCTTCCACCCTTCTGCACCCTGGGAGGCAGCAGGGGATGGTGGCTCCAGTGCTTGGGTGCCTGCCAACCAGGTGTGAGACCTGCGTTGAGTTCCTGGCTCTGTGCTGGAGCTCAACCCTGTCCTGGCTGTTTTCTAGGCACCTGGGCAATGAACCGACTGGTAGGAGCTCTTTCTCCTCTCTGCCCTTTAGAAAAATGAAAAAAATTGAAAAAAAAAATAAAAGCTTGCCTAAGATCACTTCAGCCTAGTGTAAAATGCATATTAAAGTAAATGGGTTCTGTGTCCCACGCCCTGCATGCCGGACCCCCACTGCCACCTGCGCTGCTGTGGCCATGCCACACCACACCTGTGTCCCTTCCTTTCCGTTCTCTGTCCCATCCCTCCCCTCTGCAGTGCTCGCTGAGATAATGAAATCACCTAGCGTCCATCATGGCTCCTCCTGCGTCTCTTCCCCCTTCCCGTACTAATCTTCCTGGAAACAGCCTTCCCCTCTCCTATCTCCTCCGTCAAATCCCTCCCACCTTGCCTCGTTATCTCGGCAGCCCATAGTGACGGCCCTCACTGCCCAGCCTTCACCCTGGCCTCGGCCGCTCGCTTCCCCACTGCCATTCCCTCTGCGCCCTTCCCCTCCGCCTCTCCCTGGGGCTGGAGGGGGCAGGGGACAATGGAGGGCACATGCCTGATTTCCTACCTCAACTGGACAAAATCTGAAGCTGCTTAAGATTTTTAAAGTATTTATTTGAGAGGTTGACAGAGAAAGAGAGAGCTCCAGCTTATCCTCCGGATAGCTGCAGCAGCTGGGCCTGAGATGGGCCAAGCCAGGAGCCAGGAACTCATGCAGTTCATTCATGTGAGTGGCTGGATCTGTTACTTAAGGGGGAGGAGGGCCTGGGTCGGGGAAGGGGGCAGGCACAGCTGTGGAATCCAGGCTTTCCCGTGGGGATACAGTGTAGGACAAGAGTACCTTTTTCCTGTTTTTTTTTTTTTTTTTTTTTTTTAATTGGAAAGTGAGATATACAGAGAGGAAGATCTTCCATCTGTTGGTTCATTGCCTAAGTGACTGCATTGGCTGGAGCTGCGCTGATCCGAAGCCAGGAGTTTAGACCCTCTTCTGGGTCTCCCACTGGGTGCTGGGTCCCAAGGCTTTGGGCCATCTTCACCTGCTTTTCCCAGGCCATAAGCAGGGAGCTGGATGGGAAATGGGGCTGCCAGGATTAGAACCGATGCCCATATGGGATCCTGGCACATGGGATGAGGGCTTTAGCCACTAGGCTACGGTGCCAGGCCCAAGAGTATTCCTTTTTGAAAAAAATACTTATCTAACTTATTCATTTATCTAAAAGAGTTATGGAGAGGGAGAGAAAGATCCTCCATCTGCTGGTCCACTCCCCAGATGGCTGTATGGCCAGAGCTGGGCCAGTCAGAAGGCAGGAGTCAGAAGCTTCTTCCAGGTTTCCCATGGGGATAGCAGGGACTCAGTTAATTGGGTCATCTTCTGCTTTCCCTAATTGGATCTGAAGTAGAGCAGCTGGAGCACCAACCAGAGCCCATATGGGATGCTAACATCATGTGTGGTGGCTTCACCCACTACACCACAGCGCAAGCCCCAACAGGAGTATCTTAGCAGCTAGACCATACATATCTAGCCTCATGTCTTCTTTAATTCCATTCCTATTGAAATAAATAAATAAAAAGAGTGTTTTTATTTATTTGAAAGGCAGAATTGGAGGTTTTCCTTCCACTGCTTTGCAGATGTCCCCAGCTGGTGGCAATAAGCAGCCCACACCTGCATGCTGATCTCCCGCGGGGGCAGCAGAACTCGGAGCCCTCACTGCTGCTTTCCAAGGATGTGAGTTAGTGACAAGGTGGATTAGAAGTGAAGCCGAGGGCCTGGCACAATAGCCTAGTGACTAAATCCTTACCTTGCAAGTACCAGGATCCCATATGGGCACCAGTTTGTGTCCTGGATGCTCTACTTCCCATCCAGTTCTCTGGTTGGGGTCTGAGAAAGCATTCAAGGATGGCCCAAAGCCTTGGGACTCTGGACCTGGATGGGCGATCAGGAAGAAGCTGCTGGCTCCTGGCTTCGATGTGCTCAGCTCTGGCTGTTGTTGCCATTTGGGGAATGAACCAGCAGATGAAAGATCTGTCTATCTGTCTCACCTTCTCTTCCATATTAAAAGCTGATCTGCCTTGCCAACAAAGATAACTGAAGCCGAGTCTCCCAGCAGCCCTTGGGAGCTGGACTTTGGTGTCCCCGGGATGTCTCGGCTGCTGGGCCACACGCCCCCACCCTGTGCCGTCTTTGGCTCGATCCTGCTGGTAGACATTTGGTCATGAGGCGAGGCTAAATGCAGCCGTGCAGGTGCTCGGTGCAGCAGCTGATGACGTGCACACACGGCTCTCTGCTTTCCAGGCTCCTCGTACCATGTTCCCGCAGTCACCCAGCACGCGCCCTATTTCAAGGGTACGGCCGTCGTCAATGGCGAGTTCAAAGACCTAAGCCTCGATGACTTCAAGGGGAAATACTTGGTGCTTTTCTTCTACCCGCTGGATTTGTAAGTGTGCTGTCACCTCCCTTGTCCAGCAGCTCCCGTTTTCCCCCTCATCCCCCAGCATCCCCTGTCTCCTGGTGACGATTCTCTGTCTGCTGCTAGTGAGCCCATTGGTCACTGCTTGGCTGATTTCCAAGTGAGGAGCAGGCTGGGGGCTCTCCTTGAGGTGCCGAAGTTTGATTACGCTTTGGAGCGGTGGTTCGTTGAGCTGGTCTGAAGAAATTTTCCCTGCTCTGCTGAAAAAAAAATCATGGAAGAAAGGCTAGGGGCTGGCAGGGCTGGCATGGCGCAGTGGGTTAAGCTGCTACTTTGATGCCCTCGACAGGTGTCAGGGTCCAGGTGCTCTGCTCATCTAGCTTTCTGTTCATGTGCCTGGGAAGGCAGCAGGAGGTGGCCCAAGTACTGGGATTCCTGCCACTCAAGTGGGAGATCTAGATGGAATTTCCTGGCTTCCTCCTGGCCCAGACTTGGTTATTGGCAGCCCCTGGAGGAAAGAACATTGAGGAAGGATGAAGAGGCTGTGTGTGGAGGGCCGAGATGGAAGTCTCTCTCTTTCTCTCCCTCTCTTTTTCGCCCTTCCCTCCCTCCCTCCTCCTTCCTCCTCTTCCTCTCTCCATCTTTTTGTCTTTCCTTCTGTCTCTGTCTTTAAAATAAATAAGTCTTTAAAGATAATAAAATGAAAAATTTCACCAAGCTGCTTTATTTTATGTTTTTATTTGGAAGGTAGAAAACAGAAGTGATCTCCTTTGTCTCGTTTCACTCCCAGATGCCTGTGACGTCCTGAGTTGGGTGCTGGGAGAAGGGTGCCAATCTGCCAGGAGGATGGCAAGGACTTGGCAACTCGAACCATCACCAGCTGCCCCCTGCTCTGTGCTGAGAGGCTGGCGTTGGGAGCAGAGCCCGTGCAAGCCAGGCTGGGACTGGGATGCAGGCATCTCCAGGGCACGTCTCAGCTGCTCTGCCACCTCTCCCCAAGCTACTTTATAGAAACCTCATTTGTTTTGTTCTTGGTTTTTGATGCAATTCCTTTAAAGATGACAGAAGGTGTTTTTTGTTTTTTCCAGCAGTACCTAGAGTGCAGCAAGGGAGGGTAGCCATTTTGCTGGTCCCACATCTAAGCGGAAGGTGCTGGTTTTAGAGGATTTACTCTCACATTTTCTGTGTTCTGGGTTCTGTTCTCTCCTTTGCAGCACCTTTGTGTGTCCTACAGAAATCGTGGCTTTTAGTGACAAAGCCAATGAGTTTCACGATGTGAACTGTGAAGTTGTCGCCGTCTCCGTGGATTCCCACTTCAGCCATCTTGCCTGGATCAACACGCCCCGCAAGGTACGGCACGCTCACAGACCTTTGCACTTGGGATTGGAAAACCAGGAAGGAGCCCGTGGAAAGCCTGGGTAGTTATTGATGGCTGAGAGACAGATCTCTTCCATCTGCTGACTCATTCTCTGAAACAACTGCCAAGGCTGGAGCCAGGAGCCAAGGGCTCCATCTGGGCCTCCCATGTGAACGGCAGGAATCCAAGCACTTGGGCCAGCATCTGCTAGAGCATTAGCTAGAAGCACAGGTGGGACTCGGTTCTAGGCACTCTGGTCTGGGGTGTGGACGTCCAGAGCAGGTGCTTCGTGCCTGTGCCCCACTGCCCCAAGCACGCATATTATGAAAAAGCTAGACATGGATTTTAGAATAAGTTAACTTTTCCTGTCATTTTCCATTAGTTTCTTGAAGTACCTTGTATATATCCCGCCAGCTACACTTCTAGATGGACAACAGGGACAGGTACACTTGGGCTTCCGGGTGGACGACAGGGTCAGGCTCGGCAGGTCTGTCACAAACGGGTGTTTTCTCCCTGCTTCCCCTGGGCTCGCTGCAGACCCCTGGTGAAACAAAGGGATTCTATTTTTGTGTTTGAGAAGTTAGCTTCAGCAGAGAGTTCACTGGAAGAATCAGGCAGAGGGCCTGGTGTGACACAGCAAGTCAGTGCTCCATCTGCAGGACTGGTGTCTCGAATGGACACTGGTTCAAGTCCTGCTGCTCCACTTCCAATCTAACTCCCTGTCAACGGTCCAGGTAAGCAGCAGAGGATGGTCCAAGGCCTTGGGCCCTTGCACCCACGTGGGGAGACCTGGAAGAAGCTCCTGGCTTCTGACTTTGGACTGGCCCAATTCTGGCCATTGCAACCATTTAAAAAAGAAGAGGAAGAATTAGAGAAAGGTCTTTGTATTAGCTGATTTCAGTCCCTCTCTAGCCAAGACCTGAGAAAAACTCCTCAACCTTGGAGGGTGTCAGGTGCCTCACTTGTAAGGTGGCAGCAGTAATTGGACTCCTCCAGAGTTGAATAGAACTGCTAGCAGTGCGGGGACCTTGGTCCTCACCTGCTTCCCCTGCTGGTGGGTCGTACGCACTGGGGCACTGGGACGAGCACTTCAGCAGTGTTGTGTTTTTGTTTTTTGTTTTTTTTTTTTTTCTGACAGAACGGCGGCTTGGGCCACATGAACATTGCACTGCTGTCAGACTTAACCAAACAGATCTCCCGAGACTACGGCGTGCTGTTGGAGGGCTCCGGGGTGGCACTGAGGTGAGGCTCCCCCTCTCTGAGCATCCACTCTGGTGACATGTGCAGAGCTTACCAGAGCATTCAGACATCCAACAAGTCTCACGTGGGGGCCTCTGCATGGCCACCAAGGGATGCCTCCTTGCCTCACAGCGGCCCCATCCCAGCTCCGCCCCTGCCCTGCAGCCTGCACTGGCTCCAGGCCCAGGTCCCCACAGGATCTGGTCCCTAAGCCTAGCCCTGGTGCCACGCAGAGAGAGAGGTTTTCTCCTAACCTGCCCTGTCCTGCACTGATGAATGTTCAGGCTTCCCTACATCTTGAAGCCAGATTAAGACCTGTGCGTCAACCCACCTGCGTGTATCATGCACTCGGATGAACCCTATGGTGGGACAAGCCATAGCTCGCACTGCACTGCTCAGCAGTGGGCTGCACAGATTTTCCTGTGGGCTTTTCCCTCTTCTTTGCGTACTTGCTCAAGATCTGCAGGCCACAGAGATGCCATCCCCGGCCCTTCTCCCTCGCTTGAGGAAGCCTGCCAGGCTTGCCGCAGCGACTCAGAGGCAGAGCAGCCCTCTCTCCTGCAGTTCTGTAAACTTGAGCATACTCTATACCCCCGAGGACACCTGCTGCTGGACTGCCCCACCCTTCAGTGAGAGGCAAAGGGGCTGCTTCCTGCACGGCTATAGGGTCCCTTGTTAAACCCTCTGGTGGGACCTGATGCACCGTGCCTAGTTCCAGTCGTTCTAGGTTCTAACGGGATCACTTCTGCTGCAGAGGCCTCTTCATTATTGACCCCAATGGGGTCATCAAGCACCTGAGTGTCAACGACCTGCCAGTGGGCCGCAGTGTGGAGGAGACCCTTCGCCTAGTGAAGGCGTTCCAGTACGTGGAGACCCACGGCGAGGTGTGCCCGGCCAACTGGACACCAAATTCTCCCACAGTAAGGTCCTTTTCTTAACCTCCCCAAATCACAGGACTCCAGCAGGAGATTCAGGTGCTGTCTGCCCGGGGTAGGACAGCAGGGGACCGATCCTGGCCAGGGCCCAAGAGGTGGGACAATGGGGGAATGGGGAGGGTGAATGACCAGGGCCAGGCAGGCTGTTAAGAAACAGGCCCACCTTCTGTTTTACAGTTTTGTAGGTATAGGGCTTCCCCCCTTTCCCTCCCTCTTCACCCGGCCCCTTCTCGTCTTCCCATGGTCCCCTTCTCGTCTTCCCATGGTCCCCTTCTCGTCTTCCCATGGTCCCCTTCTCGTCTTCCCATGGTCCCCTTCTCGTCTTCCCATGGTCCCCTTCTCCTCTTCCCACGGTCCCCTCTCGTCTTCCCATGGTCCCCTTCTCGTCTTCCCACGGTTCCCTTCTCTTCGCACGGTCCCCTTCTCTTCCCACGGTCCCCTGTGGTTTGCAGTAACTTAGTCCTTCAGCTGTAGTAGTAACTCCAGCATTCTGTTCTTTACATGTGTCATGACACTGTAGGTATAAACAACGGTAAACATTCTAGAACTTTGTCGTCAAGGTATACTTAACAGTTTTCTCAGGGCCTCGTTTTATTCGGGAGTAGGAATGCATCCTGTAATTCCTCTTGGATTCCTGGTACTCCGGTCTGCATTACATCAAGAAACAGGTCCCCATCTGACAGACTGTAGACTTCACATCAGAGTTTGGGAGTGTTCAACTTAACTTTTGAGGCTAGCACCACAAAGTCCCTGTTGCCCACCCAGTTAGATATTTTTTATATTTTCAGATCAAGCCAAATCCAACTGCTTCCAAGGAGTACTTTGAGAAGGTCCATCAGTAGCCCATCCCATGTGTACCTGCACCTTGTCACAGCGGAAGATAATCAGAACCCACCCACGCCTGGTACCCACTCTTATCATTGTGAAGGTGGGGGGCTGTAGAAGGCGAAAAGGCAGCTCTGCTTAGCTTGATGAACAGTCCATCTAAACGTTCTGCTTCTGGAACACCGGCTCGGTAGTTAGTGCTTAGCTGCAGACACAAGGAGCCTGTACTGGAACACTGGGAGGGCTGGTCTGTTCGTACAGAAGCCCTCATTCGTCCACCCTCTCCTTAGCTCACAGCTCCTGCGGGGGGCGCACGCTCTGTGCAAGCCTAATCCAGTGCCTCGTCCACACCAGACGACAAACTTCTGATCAAGGGTCCTGGAAGTTTTTCCCTGAATTTCTTTGTAGTAAGCTGATTTTTTTTAAGATCTCAAAGATTCTAGTTTTAACTTGTTTGAATCAGCAGTCATGTTTAACTCCTGCAATGATGTGGAAACAAATATGAATTGTGTCATTCAAAGCCATGGCGGCAGAGTGCGGTGACTGACCCTGCACGGCCCCAGCCCTGAGCCCGCAGTTCGCCTCACAGTCCCACTGAGCACCAGCCCGGCCCCCAGCCCTGAGCCTGCAGCTCGCCCCGAGCACCCTCTAGCTCTCTCGGTGTTTTCTGTGCATCTCCAGATTCTGATGAAGTGTAATTACAATGGATATTTATTGAATCCAGGGATGGCATTCTGAAATCATGGTAATCTTTCTTGAAGTATTGAATATAAGATATCGAATAAACATATTTTAAAATTCTCGTGTTTTTAATGCCTGCAGCTGTGGGGACGGTTAATGCCAGCCCCGCTTTTCCTCCCTTGAGGGCGTCAGCACATGGTCACTGTCATGGAGGCCAGCAGGATGCCGGTTCCACACCAGGAAACAGACGTGGGCCCGCACTCAGTGACTTCCCCAGATCCTTGCGTGGCAGGCAGACGCTGTTTCAGAGGCAAGAGGATGAAGAGAGGATGAGGCCCTGATGTACACACCCGCATCCTAGTGCCCTGTGAAGAGGAAAGTGGGGTGGAGCCAGGGTGCACGTCAGAGGTGTCTGTTCCCCATGTGGGCAGTTAGCCAGCAGGTGGAAGATGCCACTTCCTCCCTCTGCTGCGCTGCCTTCCAAAAACAAGCAAACAAACAAAAAACCCACTTGGTGTCTATCCCCTTTCCTATACATTTAAAGACAAAAAGGATTTTGCTGAGGCTCAAGTGGGCAAGAATACGTACAAAGTGAGCGTTGGGAGTTTAGAGTTTTAGGCAGAGGGTGTGGCCAGTGCAAAGACGCTGAGGCAAGCGAGAGTTAAGAGCTGCCGCTGGGACTGGGGAAATCTCAGGAGGGGTCTGCAGAGAAGTGGGGCCTGGAACTCCGTTGTGGGATAGGAAACAAGGGGAATTTCCCAAGAAGAGTCGGGCGAGAAGTGGTCCAAGAGGTTCCTTTGTTAAAACTAGGCCACGGGTAGCCTGATGTTACGGTGTAGCTATGGAGTTCCCTGCTAATGCGCCAGAGAAGGCAGTAAAGGATGAGCCCATGGGCCCCCGCACCCAATGGGAGACCCAAGGTCCTGGCTTTGGCGTGACTATTGTGGCCATCTGAGAAGTAAACCAGCTGATGGAAACTCCAACTCTGAATTTCAATTAAATAAAGATAGAACCAAAGGCCCAAAAGAGTAACTCAGTGTGCTAAATCCTGGGGTGTGGCAGGTGTGCTTTTGGGACATAATGGGCATGCTACAAGGCTAGAGGAGGGTGAGTCAGGCGAACCAAGCACATGTGAGATTAGAGGAGTTAGTCACCTGGAGAGACCTGGCTGTGTGTTCCTGAGGGGCTGCTGAGGGCAGGAACAGCCCGCACAGGTTTGGCCTGCCTTGAGCCGCGGCGAAAACCCTAGATGGTGCACTTGTCCACATGTACAGATGAGAAGAGGCACCTAGAGGTAGACATGACAGGCTACTCCTTATGTGGGGTACCGGGGTTCCCAGCCTGGAACTCAGGATATGCTAAGCCCCAGGATATGCTAAGCACACCTGTGCCTTCCATGATGCTGGTGGAAGCACGATTCACACACACAGTACCCACCAACAGAAGCGTTTATCTCTGACAGCGCTTACCAGGGTCAGGTATTTTGCCTGGTAGCTAAGCTGCCCATTGGATGCCCACATCCCAGATTGGATTGTTTGGGTTCCAGTTGTGCAGCTGCTCTGGACCCCAGCTTCCTGCTCAGGTGTGCTTGTCAGTACAGGGGGAGGCAGCAGGTAATGACCTTGGCAGTTGGCTGCATCCTCAGAGCCTGTGTGGAGACCTAGAGATTCCAGCAGCCTAGCCCAGCTGCCCATGGCAGGCATTTGGGAGTAGCCAGTGCATGGGAGTTCTTGGTCACAATCAGTCCTGTTTGCCCTGGTACTGTAAGTACAGGATTTGCTCCAGCACTGGGGGAGCTGTTGAGGGAGGGCATTGGCAGTGTTGCCCCAAGTATGGTTTCATGTTACCCTGTTACATTTTAAAAATTCTTGGGCCTAGCGGCTAAAGTCTTTGAACACACCAGGATCCCATATGAGTGCCGGTTCTAATCCCGGCGGCCCTGCTTCCCATCCAGCTCCCTGCTTGTGGCCTGGGACAGCAGTCAAGGACAGCCCAAAGCTTTGGACCCTACACCTGCGTGGGAGACCTGGAAGAGGTTCCTGGTTCCCGGCTTCAGACTGGCACAGCACCAGCCGTTGTGGTCACTTGGGGAGTGAATCATCGGACAAATCTTCCTCTGTCTCTCCTCTCTCTATATCTGACTTTGTAGTAAAAATAAAATCTTTAAAAAAATTTCTCAATGATGTGCCCAGTGAATGGCTCAGTGGCTGAATCCTCACCTTGCATGTGTCAGGATCCCATATGGGTGTCAGTTCATATCCCAGCTGCTCCACTTACCATCTAGCTCCCTGCTTGTGGCCTGGGAAAGCAGCCGAGGATGGCCCAAAGTCTTGGGACGCTGCACCCACATGGGAGACCAGGAAGAAGCTCCTGGCTCCTGGCTTTGTATGGGCTCAGCTCCAGCCGTTGCAGCCACATGGGAAGTGAAGATCTTTCATCTCTGTCTCTCCTCTGTAAAATCTGCCTTTCCAATAAAAATCTTTTTAAAAAATTCTCAATGATATTTGATAATGGGCACCTACGTTTTCACTGCGCTATGATTATGTAGCCAGCTTGACTGTACCCAGCATTGTTGTGTACAACTTAAGTTTATGGGCAACTTAGGAGATTTTCGGGAGAATTCTCAAAAGTTTAGTGCAGGTAAGGGGAGCAGGAAGGCAGGGACTCCAGAGCGCTTTCCAGAGTGTTCGCACGAGGTGCCCTACTGTGGCGTTTCCATAAATGATCCCCGTTTGCCAGGCAGCCCCTGGATGCCCTTAGGGGCGCAGCAGCGCACGGAAGGGTTGGGAGGCCTTGCCCTGTCTGACACTGGGAGCCGCGGTGCGACCGCACCTGGCAGGCTGCGGGCACGCGGGCCCGGCGGGAACGGCAGCTGAACGGCGGCCGGGGCGGGGCGCGCCGCCGGCTCCTCCTACGCCACCCCAAGCACCGCGCAGGCCCCAAGAAGAGGAGGAGGAGGAGCAAGCGTGGCGTCGCCGCCCGCATGGAGCCCAACCTGCGCTTCTGGATTGCCGAACGCCAAGTACGGCTCGGGCCCTGCGCGTCTGGGGCCTTGTCGGGTGGGGGCCGCGCCGTGTGGCGCTGGGCTGGCCAGGTGACCTTGGGCAGGCCACGTGGTTGCCCTGCGGGTACGCCTTTCCTCCACCCCGAACTGGCCTTGGATGAGCACCGCCCGCCGCCCGGTTGGAGGCGAAGGCGCCTAGTATGTTGCGGTGCAGCAGCGTACCCCGGGTGGCGCTCCACAAGGTGACCCGCACTAGGATCCAGTGGAGAATTCCAGACAGCTGCTGAGCAGCAGAGCTTGCTAGGAGCCCTCACCTTGCTGGCTCCCACAGGCGGCCTTGGGGAGGCCGAGCCGCTGGAGCGGAAGCCCTGGCCCTGCCACTCTGCCAGTAGAAATCGGGTGGGAGCCTTTCAAGTGCTGGAGGCTGGCGAACACCGGGAAGACAGGTGCTGTGGGTTGTAATAGGACAGCCTGCCCACGAGGTGCGCTGTGTGAGCGTTTCAACGAATGATCGGCACACATTCGGGAGACCTTTTTTGGGTGTAAAGGCTGAGGGATGCTGGGGCGCATCTCAGTTCAGGCCAGCCCTGTTTCCACAGCAATCATTCCCTTTCAGGCTGCTTCTTTCATTTTTTAGGTGAATTTGAGGAGGGACAGAGAGCTCAAGTTGTTGGATGTTGCTAAACGGTGAAGCCGCAGCCACTGCTCCAAGTTTGAGGGCTTAGAGCAAGCCAGGCTCCTTACTCCAGACCCAGCCGGGATGCACTCATCCATTTCCTGTTTTTAAAAAGATTTGTTTTTATGAATTGAAAGGCTGAGGGATAGAGATCTGCCCGCCATCTCCCACTAGTTTACTCACTAAACAGCCTCAACGATCAGGGCGAGGCCTGTGAGCCTGAAACTCCATCTGGGTCTCCCACGTGGGTGGCAGGGGCCCAGCACTGGGGCCGTCCTCCTCGGCTTTCCCAGGTACACACGCAGGGAGCTGGATCGGAAACAGGGCAGCCGGGACTCAGATGAGCATTCTAATACTTAATCTGTCTGCCACTACACAGGCCCCAGCAACTATTAAAAATATATATATTTGTTTTAATTGGAAAGGCAGATTTACAGAGAGACAGAAGGTCCTCCATCCCCCAATTTACTCTGCACATGGCCACAGCGCTGTAGCTGAACTGCTTTGAAGCCAGGAGCCAGGGACCTCTTCCATGTCTCCCACACGGATGCAGGGTCCCAAGGCTTTTGGGTTGTCCTCTGCTGCTTTCCCAGGCTGTAAGCAGGGAGCTGGATGGGACATAGAGCAGCTGGGATATGAACCGGCGTCTGTATGTGATGCTGGCCCTCGGAGGTGGAGGGTTGGCCTGTTGACCCATCATACCAGCCTCAGGCCCCAGCAGTTTTACTCTGAGACTGAGATCGCACAGAGAGCTGAGCCCTGTCCTGCCCTTCTGGGCCTCAGCTTCTTCACCTGTGAAATGGGCGTGTTGTGAGGATTCCAGGAAATGGACTTGGGTGTGTTCTCCATGAATGTCAACTGTTGCATTGCCACATGTCTCTCCTGCTGCCTCTAACCTCTCTGATGCCTTTCTTGGAAGTCTTTTGTGCGAAGAGTTCTTCAGTGGACGGAAATACTAGATCCTACAAATTTGGTCCTCTCGGTTGTAAGTATTCTTTTTGGAGAGAGTGAGTCTCGTGTTTTACTTTGCAACTTGAAGACTGTGACCCTGTAGAAAGCAGTTGACATGACAGAAACTTCATGTGTTGGTTTTGAAGGAGTGTGTTCCGTTGGAAAGGAGATTTAAAAAAAAAACAAAGCAGTGCATCTGTTTATTACCACACCCGGTTCAGGTGCTGGGGGCTAAAAGAGAATCTACATGGTTGCTCTGTGCGGATGAGGCAGGGCAGGCTGAGCACACAGCTTGGCTGGGGCTCTAAGGGAACACTTAGAGATGGGAACACTTGGGAACACTTGGGGGCACTTGGGATGGCAGCTGAGCCAGGAGGGGCAGCACAGACAGGCAGAGGCGACTGCAGGCCGAGCCATGAGCAGGAGAGCTGATCACCTCGGCCAGGAGCTTAGAGTGCAGGGCCCGAGTCAGGTCTTATGGGGCCT